AATCTTTTTATTGTCTAAGACCACTGTTTGTTATATGTTCCTCATTATTTGACAGGCAAGATAGCCACAATGATTAAAAAAATTCCCAAAGTAATTGGCAACAACTTCCTCGGAGTGATATTAAAGATACCAGTCTCCATGGGTGGATCTAGGATTTCAAAAAGGGGGGTGTGAGGGATAAAATTAGCGCTCTCCCCTCTCCCACCCCAGCAAGCAGATCATGCCATGGAGGCAGGATTTTGAGTCCCCAGCTGAGGGTGAGGGAAACCCCAGGCTACTTCTGCACTGTTCCACCGGGGGTCTACAGTGAGTGGCTGCACATGGTGCTGGGCTTAGCTTGAGACAGCAGTGTTGGTGGACAGATCCCCACTTCTAACAACTTCTCCCTTCCTGGCTCTCCCAAGTGTCCTCAGCTGGACAGAAGAAGGCCCTGGAAGGTGGAGGGGGGACTGCCCACTGATGTCGCTCAGCCTGGTAGCCCACATACCCACTTCCCATAGTTGGAACCCCTGGCCCAGTGGAGGAAATCTACGCAAGGGAACAGACAACAGGGACCTGCTACTGCCAGCAAGCCCAGCACCCTGTGAAGCCGCTTCAGGAAGCCACTGTCTAGTGAGCTACACTGTTAAAGGGGCATGTGACCACGCCATTGTGTCCTGCCCCCCTAGATCCATCCCTGCTAGTCTGCACATGTTCTTGCCGCAGAACATGACCACATAGGTAGGTAGATATTTTCTGTGTAACTGCAACTATGGTAGCTTGTCATCCGCTTAATTTTAAGTTACATGGATAGCAGAGTATCATATAACTATGCCATTTGGGTCTGGTGTTCATTTCCAAACTCACTTTTTAACTTTGTATTTTATTTTGTATGCATTTTGCTTTAAAATTAAATGTTTTATGATGAATAGAAGTATAGTAAAATAATTTTTAAATGCCCAGTGTGATTTCACTTGAGGAAAAATGCTTCCTTAATGCTCTCCAAAAGGAAGGCACCTCCAATAAATAGAAGTGCATGTGCCTGCTGTGTGTGAGGGAGAAAGGGAGACTATTAGTTATGAGCTTTAATGTTGTTTCCTCTCTTGCTGCAGATAAATAAAAAGGGGAACCATTAAACTTAGCAATGGCATCTGGCCCCTTTTCCCCAAAGCAGGATCTCTGACTAGTGAGGCCAGGTTAGATAGATTTACAACATGTACTTTACAACTTCATTTTATAGGACTTTCTACAAGTCTTCATTTTTTTCTTTTCTCCCCTTTTCCCAACCTTATTTAATGTAGATGTCTACTGCAGCAACTAACCTCTAGCTGACAGGAAGGGTTAGGCTGATGGCAAAGCTGCTCTGGGAATTACATAATAATGGTGCTGCATCCAAGAGCAATATACCCTGATATTTCCTCCCTCCAGAAAAATGTCTTTCACTTCTCTTAGCCTCTGCTAGACTTTCTTTGGGGAATTTAAAGTTTAGTAATAAACTCACATCTTTTAGTTTATAGTGTATTCTGGGGCTGTTAATGCTCCAAGGACTCTCAACAAATTGTTTTTATACCGTCTTTAGAAAACACTTTCCTTTGGAGAAGGTGGTCTAATTGTTTTAGAGAATTCAGTATGTGATTCTTCTCTCTATTTAAATCTGTATTTAAATTTAGCTTTTTCTATGACCATCTACTCCTTAATAAATAAGGGGAAAGTTACATTTGTAGAACAGAAGTCAAATGGAGCAGAAGCCAAGCTTTACAGGCCTCGTTGTGAAAGAACACAGGTAAACTAGGGGCCAAGTGATAAACAGTAGGATCTGATCTCTTTGCTTTCACAGGCAGCAGTAACTTGACTATCCACTCCTATTCCACTTTAGCAGTCATACACACAGTGTGAAATGTCTACCACATCAGTGGTAGATGATTGTGTTTTACACCCACTTTGAATTGTTGATAATAAATTGAGCTTCAGATGTCCCAGTGGAAGTCTGTAGGTAAGTTAATACTACTTGAAACAGCCTGTATCTACTTGTGAGAGAAGAAGGAGTTTAACCATATCTGTGAATAGGGAATTCCCTCCCTTGTAGATCTCTGGGGTTCACAAGATTGTAATGCTACAACTCCTTTCTTCTCCCCAAAGAATCTTACACATCTTTTTATGGAACTTTCTCTTTACAAAAAAAATGCCACACTGGCATAATTTAGAGTTGTTTAACCCCTAAGTCCCCTCCTTCTATTTGTAGCCCTAGAGAAGGATATAGATTCTTCTGAATGGAATGAGAGAAACCAACACAATGACACATGAAAGGATTATTTTAATACAATCTGGCCTCTTAAAGAACAATTTATGGACCTGTGTATTTTAACTAGAATTCTGGTCTGGTTTAATGTTATAGTGTGCCCATTTTCTGTCACATTGTACTAATCATTGATCAGCACATTAGAAAAATCTAATGGAAATTAAATAGGGAAGATAAGACTAGTAACTCTATATATATGGAGGAAAACATATCAGTTTTGCATAAAAGGCCAGGATGCCTGGTGTGCTACCTTGGAGTTCTCATCCCTGACTCTGAAGAAATCTGGAAGAGCTCCCTACAAGCTGGACAGGGAAAGCAGGAGGAAAGAGGCAGGTTTTGAAGCCTACCTCTCCAGGTTACTACAGGAATGTCTGTGAAATCAAACCATGTGAAAATGGCTTATTGTGATGAATGAGCAAATTCTGAGAACAGGTACACAGTCAGAATTTTTCTGAGTAGCTTAGTTAAGAAAACCTCATATTATTATTTGGCCTTGAATGGGAGCTTTGGACCTGGGGGTGAGGAGATGAGGACTCCTGAGTCTGCCATTGTAGTGAATAGAACACAGATTTGAGGATAGAGGAAAATATACGGGAGCATTATTAAAATGGAAGGCAAAACCAAAACAATATACACCATACTCACTCGAATTTAGGATGAGGTTCCCCAGTCCCTAAATCAGCATGGGGGTGAAAAAGCCTCATGTTGTATTTGAGTACTGGCCTGGGACAGGCAGCAGCTCAGCTCCAGCTTTGGTCCCAAGCTCAAGGCTAAAGCCAGAGCTGAACTGCTGCCTGCCCTGGGCCAGAATGGCTCATTTGACAGAGGACAGGGCTCTCAGCCAGGAGGAGTTCGGGGGAGACTGTGGGGTGCCCCCCACCCCTTCCCCCTGTGCCTGCATCTCCTGCTGCCCTCTACAGAGTGTCTCCCCCACTTTCTGCTCCCCTTCATCAAGCTTGCCACCCCCTCTTTACCTTCTGCTCTGGCTCCACTCTCTCCAGCCCTGAACCTGCCTGGTTGGGAGCTGCTGCCATTTCTCCTTGGCTGAGCTGAGCTGGGGCCATGTTGGGATGCTGGTGCTAAGTGCTCCAGAGGAGCAGAGTTGCAGCAGAAGGTAAGGTGGGGGGGAGTGGGCAGGAATATGATGGGGAAAGGACTGAGGGGAGAGGCGGCAGGGGGGACAGGGGGTATGGGAGGCAAGGTGGCAAGCAGGCACAGGCATGGGGGATCAATGGGCAGGTGGAAGAAACACAGGCACAGGGGAGACAGGCACAGGGGGAAAAGGGAAAGGGGAACAAGGGGCAAAGGACTCGCATCTTGCCTCCCACTGCTCCTTTCCCCATTACAGCAATGGGGGTGGAGTGGGGGAGGGGATGAATTTAAAAAGGCCTCCCCAATAATTAGTCTATCTATGTGGAAAATTATAATGTGTTATCATTTTCCACATATAGAATCTAATAATTGGGGAGGCCTTCTTAAATTCAAAGTTGCTTTAGGAGTCAGGAAAATATACTAAACCTTAACATATATCTCTATTGAACTTTCAAGATAATGTCTGTCCCTCGGCTTCTTGCTTATGTCGCCTCATCTCTGAATCTCTCCATGAGTTCATACTTCTCCTGCCACTTCTACTACCAGGCTTCCTGCCCTTGTTCTTGAAGCCATTAACCACTCTCCCCCTGCCTACATATTGCTCTTTTGGCTTACTGGGTTACTCCTACATGCCACCAGTTTTGCCACTCTCGACCCCCTGCTTGTATATCTTCCAACAAATACCTCTTGACTTTCTTCTCCATCACCTTTGAAACATGGGTTGTCCATTCCGAACTAGTTCACAAAGGCACTAGCTGCTTCTCCCCTGAATATCACTCAAGATAAGCTTTTACCATAATGCCTATGACTAATGGTTAGGTGGAGGTCAAGTGGGGATTACTGATCCTTATTAAGATATATTTTAAATAATTAATAAACAAGTTACTCCCATATAGGTGCCCTGAGTTTGGAGGGTCCCTGGTGGTTTCCAAGGGTCTGTTTTTGGAGGCAGATCTTAAAATGGATGTAGCTTTCACCACCTAGAGAGAGAGCCAGAACCTTCTCCTGATGTGAGCAGAAAGTCCCAGGTGACCTTAGGGCACCTGTTCCTTCTTTACTCTTCACTTGTTAAAATCCAAATTCAGCATGCTAACACATTTTCTATGCTTCTTATAGCTTTCTTTAATATTCAGAGGGTGACCTTTAGGAGAACAAGGTTAGTGCTGAGACTTCGGCAGTGAACTGTTTTCTAATTCAATTTTTAAAAAGCAAGTAATCTTAAATAATTATAAATCAATTACAGAGCCTGTTGTATACTTCTCCAAGCAAAAAATTATAACAAACTATTTTGAGAGTGATTGAGCAAAATGAACAGCCTCCATAAGGCAAGGAATTTGCGTTTCAATTTATCTTTTCCTTCATAATAGCATCATTTGAAATATGTTTTGCTAAATATGGCAACTGCTCCCATAGAAAAAAAATCAATTATATTCTTACATTTAAATAATCTTTTCCCAGTTATGCTCTAATGTATCACTGTACTTAAGAAATGTACCCCGGGGAAAACACTTCTATTCTTCACTAAAAATCCATGAATAAAATTATGTAAAAAATAATTTATGATGCATGATTTAAAATCTTAACCCAGAATGGCTTCTTATTCAAATATCATCAGAAAATGACACCTCACCCGCAGAAAGGAGTCCAAGGATCCATTTTCCATGTATTCAACCACAATCATTACCGGCCTGCCTGCAAAGACAGCAAAGAAACTCATTAGGATTATAAATATATTAAGAGTTTGTTATATTTCCCACTGTTAGGAATAGATTATTTGCGTTACTTCAATATGTTGCTCATTTCCAAAGTTCTCCTGTACAGCACATATGTATCTTGTTCAGTTATTCATAAGCAGTGTTTTTAATCAATATTTCCTTTACAGGAAGGACCTGAATTAGCTGACTGCATGCAGTTCCTTGTGGTGGTATTTTCTTTTCTATGAAAAAGGTCAAACTGAAGTTCTTTGACTCCAAATGGCTACACTTACTGTGCCTACCAGTGGGAGCGGTAGGATCTCTGACATGAATGTGCACTAAGTATAATCATATAATATTCTGAAAGCACTTGAAGTCAGGCAAAAGGAAAAAAATAGGAATTGTAAACCATCTCTAAGAAATCACATGCTATACATTAAAATCAGTTCTCTTGTGGGAAAAAAACCCGAAGATTCAATGACTCTACATAAATAAAATATAAGCAAAAAACCAAACAAGCACTGTTCTTGGTCTACTTGCCACCCACCCCCCCCAAAAAAAAAAAATAAATAAAATGACCTCTCCTATAGCCCGATAGAATGAAAGGGGAGAAAGAACAAGAACTTGTGTATTTGCACGTGCAGAATTTTATGTATATTTACATAATATGGGGTCTTCACTCAATAGTTTTTAAAACAAGGTCAGTTCGTTTTACCTACAGGTATACTGACATATGGTGGCCCCAATCCAGCAGAACATTTAATTAAATAGTTAATTTTAAGTATGTGGCATTTCCATTCAGATCAGTGGAACTACTCATGCATTTAAAGTACAGCCTGTGCTAAAGTACTTTACTGGACTGGGAGCTAGCAGGATTTCTTATGTGTCTCATTTTGATTGACTAACACAGATGTTCCGGATGATCCTGTATTATGTTCAATAAAGAACCAACTTAAAAGCTGATTAATATTGTATGGCTCTTACAAACATGCCCAAGTTACAGAAGATAAAATTAAAAACTGGTCATTTACTGGAATGACATTTTATTGTTGTTCAGGAATAAACTATTACTCCAGAGCTGCCTGACAGGGAAAGCCCAATTAACACGTTAAACAGGGTCTGGAGTGAGATGTTGTTTTAGAATTGTTAATATTACAGGGTAGTGACTAATATAGGCAAGACTAATGAATGAATATTTATGCAAGATTGGGAGGAAGGGAATGGAGATTAAAAAAGCAACCTCTTTTTCAGGATAATACCTGTATCTTATGGAGTCTGTCTGAAGCAGGACTTATGACACCTGATGTCACTATAATTCCTCCCATTTGTTTCTCTTGGAACAGTTATAATTTCAATGAGTCCTGAAGTCTTTATAGATAATATTTCTATGGCTCTCTTTTTGTGCTATTCGTAGATCATTCTCTTTCTGAGAAATTTTTTTTCAAACAAGTAAGGAAACACAGTATATAAAAGGGAGAAAATAGTAGTCACTAGGGGTTTGTGAGCAGTTAACATTCAATTTGGATTTGGCCCGATTCAGAGGAGAGAGATTCAATTTGCTGATTCAGATCACTGTCCTAATTTGATTCAGTTGAATCTGAAGATTTGATTCTGATTCAGAGAATCAGTGATTTGGCCATAGACACAGCTTTATATGTTTTTTCTATGTACCTTGAGGTACCAGGCGCGGCTCGTGAACACTGAGATGGTGGGGTGGATGGAGCATCCCACAGGAACTTCCAGTCCACTTCTGGGTCTGCCACCGAGCATGTGGGGGACCCACCCATGCTCCCGTGGGATGTTCCATCTGCCCCACCATCCCAGTGTTCAGGAGCCATGCCTGGTACCTCAAGGTATATAGAAAAAACATATAAAGCTGTGTCTATGGCCGAATCATCGAATATCTCCGAATCGATAGTTCACACTATGGGCTGCTCAATAGAAACCCTATCCAGAGATACTCAAGTCCTTTTCTGAGCTGTTACAGTTAATTTGGAAATCAGAAGGGTGAAGGAGTTGTCCAAGCTATTCATTTCAAATGTGAAGTTACCTACATTTGTCAACACTGCCTTTCATGTATTGCTGCTCTGTCCACTCACTCAACTAGGTCAAGTTTATTTATTTATTTATTTGTTTTTTAAGTTTCTTGCAGTGTTCTGTAGATTTTCCTTACAAAAGCTGGTTTTGCCTGTAAACCTTGCTACCTACTGATTTTCATCCTTAGATCATCAATAAATAGTAGATGTTCAAAAAGCCTGAGGTGGAACCGATTCAATCTACCCAAGTTTCTCTAAAATGCATAGACTGAACCGGGAATGAACAGAATGCATGTTCACTCTTGGGTGATGGGGCAGGTATGCAGCTCGCCAGGCTAGAAGGCAGGTGATACTCTCACATGCCTCCCAGTGGGGCCACTTTCCTCAGCCCTGGCCCCCACCGCCAGTGGCCCTGTTAGTGGCAGGGGGGGGCCCCCCCCCGCATGTCTGGCCCGGGGGGGG